CAGCAGCCGCCTTTGATGAGTGTGTCGCTGACATAGAAGGAGCAGTGCAATTCGCGAGTCGATTCTCCCAACGGCTTGTTCTTCAGGGGCATAGTCTCGGGTGCGATCGGATTGTTCAGTTTGTGCTCTCGAAGAGAGGAACCCAAGACATTATTCTGCTGTCACCGTGTGACAGTTATGCCCTCCAAGCGAAGTGGATCGCTCCCGAGACGGTTGAAGAGCAGATTGCACGCCTGAAGGCGAAGCCGAGACCGGTCGAGGGACTCGACTGGCTGCCGGGTCGGGAGTATGGGGTGCGTCAAAGTCGGGAATGGACCTACTCCATTCCCATCACTCGTGCAGCTCTCCTTTCGATAATGGAGGGACCACCATTCCGGCTGTTCAACATCTCGGAGCCAGCAGCTTTCAAGCTGTCGCAGCGGGCCGTGATCTACATCGGCGGTAAGGACGCTCTACAGACTTCGTCTAGGGACGCGATGTTCGAGTACTTTCGAGAGCGGATTCCGGATCTCACCGAGGTTTGCGTGGCCGATGGCGACCACATGCTGGCGGATTGCGAGGAGGCTGTAGCTAGGAAGGTGATCGGCTGGGTTGGCCTCTCCGGCCGACCAGACGAGAGTTCTACGGTAGGTTGATTGCGGGGTTGAAAGCCGGTTTGAGATGTCAGCGAACGGTCAAATGCGGCCGCTAGCTCCAGCGTCCGCACCCGACGGCGACCGAAAAGGCCAGACGGGATTCGACCTCGACGAAGTGCTCCTCGGGCATTTCGCCTGAACACAGGCTGGCTCGGCGGTGATCGCACTGGCGCCCGCCCTGGCGGACAGGGCGACGTCGTGCACCGCCAAGCTCATCCCATTGTGGCCATTTTTGTGTCACTTCGCCTTGCACGACTGTGCAGAAACGGGCCGAAAAGCGCGTGTTTGTGCCACTCGCCCGACCTGCCACTATGAGAACGTAACCCCTTACTTGTCAACGTCTTCCGGCTTCTTGGCCGCCTCCTTCGCAACGCGGATGTCGCAGGTTCGAGCCCTGTGCCGTCCACCAATAGAATCAAGTACTGGCGAATAGGGCCGGCCGTCGGACTGTCTGGGCCACCTGTCTGGTGTTGCGCTGGTGGTGCAATGCGATCGGAGTCGTATTGACGGGTCCGACCCCAACAGGCAGAATGCGCTCATTCGTCCAGCAACCGGGAGTCACCGAGATGCAGCTACTGCTCGGGTTTGTGCTCGGGTTCGTCAGTTCGTGCCTCGCCGCGATCTTGTACGACTGACCGGACCCATGCACGTCCTAATCGGCGTCGGTGTGAGCCTCGCAATCGTGGTCGGCCTCTGGTGCCTGTCGGAGTTTCAGCGTAGGCGACAGATTGGGCGTACGCGCTCCAGGCTGCAACGCGAGTGGGGACAACCGAGAGCGTCAGGCACTGAGGATGGGGTGGGCGTCTATCACCTACACGCGAGTGGCCGGTCAGGCGACTCCCTGGACGAGACGACATGGGCCGATCTGAATCTTGATGCCGTGTTCCGGTTTCTCGACCGGAACGAGAGCGCACTTGGACGTGAACGGCTGTATCACCGATTGCGGCGCATCAGTGGCAGTCCGAGCGATGTCCACGGATTCAACGCCACCATAGAACGCTATCGAGGGGACGAACCTGCCCGGCAGGCCATCCAGATGGCCATGGCCACCGTCTCCGAGAGACACGATGCGACGGTCCGGAGCCTGGCACTTAACGCGCCGGAGGCGTTGCCGTGGTGGATGTTGGTCGTCTGCCCGGCATTCGCCATCGGGATGGCAACCGTTCTAGCGGTAACGCTCCTGGTGCCCGCCTACATGAGCGTCACTATTCCAGCCATCCTGCTGAGCCTCTGGATGCGGTCACGCATAGCGT